TTAGCAAATGCTTCAAGTGTCCCCCACTTTCAGGAAGCAAGGTGTGTATCTGTATATAAACCTCCCCCCAATCCCGATGCTACGCTTTTCTTCATAAAGCCTAGTCTCTCAGATTATTTGCTGAGGATATAGATATAATAATAATAAATCCTTATTGTCATCAAGTTGATGCTGACTCAAAGAGACCCTGTAGGACAGGGTAGAACTACCCCTGTGAGTTTCTGAGACTGTAACTATTTATGGGAGTAGAAAATCCTGTCTTTCTCCCATGGAGCACTTGGTGGTTTTAAACTGCTCCTCTTTTGAATTTCAGCCAACTTAACCACTATACCACCAGGCTTGCTTTATAGATTAAGCATAGTGAAAGGGTATAACTCTATGCACATATTTCTTGATGTAAAACCATGCAGTATTCCCTTGTTCTGTTTGTATTATCTCTTGGTCATCGACAGGTCCTACATGAGCACAATTGTGTGTTCTGGAATTTCCATTCTTCACAATGTTATCCAGCTTGTTATGATCCAAACAATTGAATGCCTTTGCACAGTGAATAAAACACAAGGGAACATCTTGCTGGTATTCTATGCTTTCAGTCAAGATCCATTTGACATCAGCAATGATATCCCCCTTGCCATGTCTTCTTCAAGCCGCCTGGCTTGAATTCCTGACAGCTCTGTCAATGTACTCTTGCAACCAATTTTAAATTATCTTCAGAAAGAAATTTACTTGCATGTAGTGTTAATGATACTGTTTGATACGCTGCACTACGTTGTGTCTCCATGGGCACAGAAGGACCTCTTTCAGTCAGTTGGTCAGGTAGTAGTCTTCCAAATTGCTTTCATAGGCAAGTGAGTGTTTTCCTTACTTCATCAGTTTGCGGAAACTTTCCATTGGTTTTCCATCAATTCCTGGGTCCTTTTCTTTGGCTAATGCCTTCAGTGCAGCTTGGGCTTCTTCGCTCAGTACCACTGGTTCTTGAGCATATGGTACCTCTTGAAATGGTTGCATATTGACAAGTTCTTTTTGGCACAATGATGTGTGGCACTCCCATCATCATATATAAATAAAAAAAGTTATCAAAAGACAGGAAACAAAATCAAAATGGATGCCAGAAGAGGTGCTGAAACTTGTTCTTGCATATACAGTGGTAAAGGGACTAGAAGGAGTGATGAATAGACAATTTCAAAGAATAACTCAATAATGAAAGTATAATAATGAATTGTGCTAAGACCCGGAATTAGAAAAGCAAAAGGGAAAACACAGTTGGCATTTCTGAACCATAACAAATGGAGAAAAATTCAAACAAGGACCTGCAGTATTGAAAGATTTAATGGGTTAGATATTGTACAATGATAGTATCATAAAGGAAGATCAAAGGAATACCTTGTTACTGCACCAAAGAGAAATGGTCAGTGTTCAATGAGGCTCACTTAATGAGGTAACATTGTGGCAGTTACATAATCTCCTGTCAACTTGAGTGAATGGGTGGAGTCAATCAGGTCATAGCCAATAATGCCTCAGTGTGGGCACAGCCTTCTCCTGAGGATTCTAGGAACTCATGGGTCCTCCCAGGAGGCAGGACACACTCTCTCTGCTTCACAATGTGTTGACAAGGCACACAAAGCCACGTTGATGGCAGCCAGGGCCCTGGAGCTGGATGAGCCACATGGAAAGCCATGGCAGCGTTGAGATACTCCCACAAGACTTTTCACCCACGGACCTGTGATCTTCCTGCTTTCGGCATCACTGCATGTGCTGCCTGAGTCTGTAGAAGAATTTGTGGACTAGTATTGGACATATGAGCTAATATTGGACTTATGGGCTAATATTGAACTTATGGACTTGATTTGCACAGGGCCGCTTCCTGGCAGTCTGTCGAAGAGGCAGTCTTTGGTCACCTTCCTTGTCATGGCTGTGTGGGTTTGAACTGCCAATCCTGAGGTTAGGCGTCAAGCATGAACAGTTGCCCCACAGACCTTGTTGTTCCTTCTCACAGAACACTTCTGATTCCCGTGGACTGTGTTGGCCAAAGGTGTCTGGGCCATTGATGTGGCCTTCTGAGCTCAGCCTTTAACACAGTGGTTCTCAACCTGTGGGTGGGACCCCTTTGGGGGGTAGAATGACCCTTTCACAGGGGTCACCTGCTTCATAACAGTAGCAAAATTATAGCTAAGAAGTAGCAACGAAAATAATTTTATGGTTGGGGGTCACAACCTGAGTAACTGCATTAAAGGGTCGCAGTAGTAGGGAGGTTGAGAACCACTGCTTTAAGAGGTCTGGTGTGTTGTTACTGTGCTCTCACTTCATTCCAGTGGCTAGTCTACTGAGAAGTGGGGGGCAAGGTCAGCACACAGCAGAGCTGCTTCTGCCCCTACAGCAAGTGCTCAGCAACACACACTTATGTGTCAGAAAGAGCAGGTCATGCATCACAGGCATAAACTTGGTGAGCTCTGCTCTTGTGCCAGCCCTTACATGGGCGGGTCTTTACAGGAGCTTCCTATTTATCGGAATAAGATAATCCTTATTCCTACTACCAAGTGAGGAAACTGAGACTCCGAGAAGCCACAAGCCTGTCATGGGGACAAATGCTCAAGGTAACACTAAGTATATACAAGAGTAAGTACACATACATATAAGCAAAAAACACTCACTGCTATCAAATCTATTCTGACTCAGCAACTCCACAGGGCATAGAACTGCCCTTTCTTTATAAGGCTGTACATCTACAGGAGCTGACAGCCTCATCTTTCTTGGGCAGAGCAGCTGGTGGTTTTGAACTGCTGCCCTTTAGCACAGCAGTCCAATTTGTAACCCACTGTTACTACATCACCAAGGTTCCATGCACCCCCCCCACGTATAAACAAGAGTGTGAGGTGGCTTCAAAAAGTTTGCGCATAAAATTTGAGTGAAAATTTCCCATGAACTCTTTGATGGACACTTATATAGAGTCCCTAGGTGTCTTAATTTGTTGACCTCTGAACTGATGATGGAGGAGCCCTGATGGCGGAGTGGTCATGTGTTGGGCTGCTAACTTCAAGGTTGGCAGTTTGAAACCACCATCCACTAAAGATGAGGCTTTCTACCCCCATTAAGAATTATAGTCTGGGAAACCCATGGGGGAAATCCTACTGTCCTATCTATAGGGTTGCTCTGAATAGGAATTGAATTGGCGGTGAGACCTGTTGGGAGGTTAGTGGTTTGAAACTACCCAGAGGAACCTTGAAACAAACAGCCTGGAGATGTGTTTCTGCAACGCAGAGCATTGACGAGCCACAGAGCACAGGAAAATTCTGCCACATTTTATGTCTCGTAAGCAAGCACTGATTCAATGAGCAATTCTTTAGTGGCTCATATTGGACAATTGTTGTTGTAGGTGACAGAATCACTGTGACCCAGAGATTCAACTCCTACCTATATAATAGCCACAGGAGCATTTTACATGAATATTCATAGAAATGTTATTCACAGTGGACTAAGGTGAAAAGAAACCACATATCGGTCGAAACATAATGAACATACTATGCGTGTATACATACATTTATATATATATATATACAGAGCTCTGGTGGCATAGTGGTTATAGGTTCAGCTACTAACCCCAAGGGCAGCAGTTCAAAACCACCAGACACTCCTCAGGAGAAAGAGGAAGCTTTCTCCTTCTGGAGAGTCAGTCTTGGAAACCCACAGGGGAATTCTACCCTGTTCTATAGGGTCACTTTGAGTCAGCCTTGCCTGGATGGCAGAGAGGTTTTAAAAACATATAACATGTACTCAACCTTAGAAAGAAATAAACATCTGGTACATGTTATGACACAGAGGAACCTTGAAGGCATTGTCACGAGTGAAAAAAGACACCAAAGGACACAACTTGCATGGCTCCATTTTTATGTCATGTCCACAACACGCAAATGCGGAGACCAAGGGTTCCCAGTGGTTCCCAGGAACTGAAAGGGAGGCAACAGGCGGATACTGATAAAGGGTACGGACTTTTTCCTTGGGGGGATGGGATTGTTTTCAAACAGGGTGAAGGCTGTGCACCATTGGGAATGTACAAACGCATTTCTACACGTAAGATCATTAACATGGTAACACTGACATGTGTTACAAAACTAACAAAAACAAATGTCAAGCTCGTAGAAAACACAAGATAAGTAACTTTGAAAGATTGTGCAACCTGTACCATTAAAACTTAAAACTAAAAAAAGAGCTACCATGTCTTCTTTTGCTTTAAATATTTAATTTCACTGAAGCACATGCTTACGAGAACACTGTGCATCAAGTCCCCAGGCAGCCCACTCACTGACACAGCTTTTCCTACTGTTAACAAGTTGCCCTTTGGGGTTGTGTGGCACACCATTCAGGAGCTTTCCACTGTACTTCTCCCTTGGCTTATTTGTTCTTCTGACCACAGTCCCTGCCACGGAGTCGGGGCTGGCTCAGAGCCACCCTATGCAGCAGGGTAGAACTGCATCTGTGAGCTTCTGAGACTGTCACTCTTTACGGAGTAGAAAGCCCCACCTTTCCCCCATTCTTCTGATAGACCAGTGTACATTTAATCTTCTTCATCAATGCCATAATCCAAAGGCATCGATTCTTTCCCAGTGTTCCTGACTCGATCTCCAGCTTTCACATTGTCCAGCCTAAGAGATGGTGTAAGATTCCATGGCTTGGGTCAGGCAGCTCTCAGCCTTAAAAGTTATATATTTGACTTTTCACACTTTAAGGAGGTCTTTTGCAGCAAATTTGCCCCATATAATATATACTTTGATTTCATAACTGTTCCTGGCGTTCATTTTCATTTACTTGGATGAAAATGAAAATGAAAATAAACTAATGAGTTAGGAAGAGATGTTGAAGAATCTTAAATACGTAGTGCCAAATGGAAACAACAAGAAAAACCAATACAGCCTTCAGTATAGTTTGTACCTCAATTAAAGAAAACAAGAATTTCACAACTATACTAATATGCAATTCCACAACAAATGGAGAAAAGATAGAAGTTTGGAAGTTGTCAAGGATTTAATTTTATTTGAATCCTCAATCAACATTCACAGAAATAGCAATAAAGAAATCAAATGATGGACTGCATTGGATACATCTGCTGAAAACTATCTCTTTAACATGCCTAAAAGCAAGGATTTCACGTTGAGGACCAAGGTGTGCCTGGCTGAAGACAGTATCTCCAATGGGCTCTGATACATGAGAAAGGTGGACAGTGAATAAGGAAGTACAGAAAAGACCTGATGCCTTTGAATTGTGCTGCTGGTGAAGAATATTAAATGTAATACAGATTATCAGAAGAATGGATTATGTGTTGGAAGAAGCACAACTAGAAAACGCCTTAGAAGGATGGTGAGACTTCTCACGTACTTGGGGCATATTATCTGGAGAGAAAAATCCTTGGAGGACATTTTGCTTGGCAAATTAGAGAGGATGGGTGACAAGATGCAATGACATCACCCACAACTGATAAAACAGGATCAAACATAGCAAGTTGTGAAGTTGGCGCAAGAAAGTGTTTCCTTCCATGGTATTTGAGTTATGTGAATAAGAACCAAATCAACAGCAACCAACGACAGCTTAAGAGCTCAAAATAACTAAGTGTGGGACACTGAGCAAAACCAGAAAACCACCACCACCAAAACGCCAGTTAAAATTTTGGTGTGAACAATTAAATAAATAAAGGAGAAGAAAAAACTAATTTTTGGTAGAACTCCAGGTTTTATATAGATATACGAAATAATTTGGAATAGAAAATACTATGTGTTAAACAGCATGGTAATAATAATCACAGCCAAAAATTATCTATGAGCAGTAAAATTAGGAGGCCAAAGGACGATGAGAATCAAAATACTTACACTCTCTCAGAATTTTATCCCAATAGAAACTTACTAGCAATAAAGGGTTTTTTAGTTAGCATTACAATAGGGAAGAATGAAAGCAAATGTAAAAAACATGGAAACAGAGTAAAAAACATGGAAACAGAGTAAAACACACTTACACTAATACAAGTTCAGTGTATTTCAGTGTATAAAATTACTGTCAATAACATATTAAAAAACCATAAAATCACAATTTCTCAAGTTACTCCCTGCAGCCTCCTTTGAGATAGCCAAAGACTTACAGATAAAACTTAAGTTCAAGTAAGGAAGCAGCAAATACTACGGAGGACAACAGCACCACTGTTATAATGAAACTATTATTTCCCCCAAATGCATAAAGTGGCTTTAATGATCCCTTCTTTGAGTCAGTACTGTTTTCTGAGAAGTTTTGCTTTTTATTTTAGACTTCCAGAAATTTCCTATTTGATGTTATGTAATCAAGAATGAAACAAACCCCCCAATGTTGTCCCAAATGTCAAGTATAAAGGGTTACCTATATATCCCTTAAGAAGTTGGAATGATCGGCTGGCTTCACCAATGGGCTCCAACATAATTAACAATCGTGAGGATGGTTCTGTTGTACACAGGGTCCCAAGAGTCAGAATCGAGTCTCTGGCACCTAAAATTAGCATCTCCTTACATTCATAGGGCCTTTACCCACTATGAGTTCTTACGTGTGCATTGAGGGCTGAGAGCTGCCTGAAAGCTTTCCCACATGCCTTGCATTCATAGGGCCTCACATTACTGTGAGTCCTGATGTGTTTATTGAGAGTTGAGAGCTGTCTGAAGGCTTTCCCACATTCCTTACATTCATAGGGCCGCTCTCCAGTGTGGGTTCTTATGTGTGTTATGAGCGTTGAAGAACAAATGAAGGTCTTTCCACATTCCTTACACTCATATGGCCTCTCTCCACTGTAAGTCCGAATATGTGCAATGAGGGCTGAGAGCTGCCTAAAGGCTTTCCCACATTCCTTGCATTCGTAAGGTTTCTCTCCAGTGTGAATCCGTGTATGTATCGTGAGAGTTGAGGAATCATTAAAAGCTTTCCCACATTCCTTACATTTATACGGTCTCTCTTCACTGTGAGTTCTTCTTATGTGTTTAGTAAGGGTTGAGAGCTGTTTAAAATCTTTCCCACATTCCTTACATTCATAAGGCCGCTCTCCTGTGTGAGTTCTTATATGTCTAGTAAGGGTGGAAGCTCGACTAAAGGATTCCCCACAGTGTTTACAATCATAAGCCCTCTCTTCAGTGTGAATTCTTAAATGTTTAGTGAGAGCTGAGGCATGAATAAAGGCTTTCCCACATTCCTTACATTCATATGGTCTCTCTACAGTGTGAGTTCTATGTATACTAAGGGCTACGGAATCCAAACCTTTCCCATATTCCTTGGTGTCACGAGGTCCCTCCACGTGAATTCTTCTTACGTGTTTAGTTAGGTGTGAGTGTCGACTAAAAGCTTTTCCACATTCCTTACATTCATAAGGCCTCTCCCCACTGTGGGTTCTTATATGTCTAGTGAGAGTTGAGGCAATTCTAAAGGTTTTACCACATTCCATGCATTCGTAAGGCCTCTCTTCACTGTGAGTTCTTATATGTTTAGTTAGGTATGAGGCCTCAGTAAAGGCTTTTCCACATTCTTTACACTCGTAAGGTCTCTCTGCACTGTGTGTTCTTACGTGTTTGCTAAGGTTGGATGAACACGTAAAGGTTTTCCCACATTCCTTACATTCATAGGGCCTCTCTCCAGTGTGGGTTCTGATATGTTTAGTGAGGGATGAGGCCTCACTAAAGGCTTTCCCACATTCTCCACATTCATAAGGCCTTTCTCCGCTGTGAGTTCTTAAATGTCTAGTGAGGGCTGAGAGGTGCAAAAAGGCTTTCCCACATTCCTTACACTCGTAAGGCATATCTCTATTATATTTTTTATCTAAAATGAGGGATGAAGTTTGACTGTATGTTTTACAACATTCTTTACATTCACAGTTGCTTGCATGCTCCCAAAAGGATGACAAACTACAGAAATCTTTCCCATAGTCATTGCATTCATAACTTTTCACACTTGTGAGTGGTGTCACAGGATGCTTAAGTGTTGAGGTACAAATGAAGTCTTTTCCACATGCCTTACACTTAAGGGGCTTCTTCCCATTAAGGGTTGTCATAGAGGTGAGAAGTGAGAGGTAAGAGGGAGAACTGCTGGCTTCCCCACATTCCTTACACGGACAAGTACTGCATCCGCTTTGAGAAGTGGCATGATGTGAGCACTGATCCACGAAGGCTTGCCCACACTCATAGCACTCAAAAGGGTTTTCTTCTGGAGGGTTTCTTTGTAACGCAGTGAGGTCTGGAATCCAGCTGACAGGTTTTCCACACTGATTGTCTTGGTTATTTCCATACAGGCTCTCTTTTGTATGACTTCTGCTAAAAACAGGTAACTTGGTTAGAAATACATCTGTTCCCATTTTCCAATTATTAAACAAACATGTAAGGTTCCTGTCCATCATCTAGTCAAAATACTACTTTATCACTTTTTCAAAAATATATAGCTTCCTGATAATTGTATCCAGGTAAAATATATTTCAAATACTTGATATCTTATGCATGAACATGAGTAAGTGTATTGTGAAAATTCATTGAATATATAGCTTTATAGCTAGGTTTATGTATATGTTGCTGTTAGGTCCTGTCAAGTCAGGCCTGCTTCCTGGCCATCCTGTCTACAATAAAATGAAACACTGTGCGATCATGCACCAATTTTTTAAATTGTTGCTATGTTTGGGCCCATAATTGCAGTCTTTATATCAATACATCTTTTTGAAAATCTTTTTACTGATCCTTTACTTCACCACGAATGTGTGTGTGTGTGTACCTGTGTGTATATATAATAAAATCCCATTGCCACCGAGTTGATTCTGACTCATAACAACCCTACATGGGAGGACCACTGTTCATTAGGGCTTTTAGAAGATGCTAAGGCTTTATGAGAGAAAAACAGCCTCCTTTTTCTTTTGTAGAAATCGTGGTGGGATTGAACTACTGCCTTTGTAATTAGCAACTCAGGGTGCCCACAAGGCTCATATAGATATTTGTGTGCCTGTATAAACGTAAGTTATATATTGTGATGAAACACAGAACTTTATCTCGGGGCACTAATTTCTCTTCTATAAATGACACTCACCTCAACTCACGCCTCTGTTTTTTCAGCTGATCTTGACTATCACCTGATTCGGAGGTTTCTCCCAACACGAAGCACCAGGTGTTATTCTTCGGAGTTTCCACTATTACCTGTTCACTGGATGACTTTTCTCCATCACTAAGGTTTTTAGACACTGAACCAGTAATTCAAGTTCAGGTTTGCAATATGAAACAAAAAAGGAGAGCAATTATTAATGAGGGAAAGGCTGCTGTGAACAAAGACAGACTTAGCCACATTTTGCTACTTTAGTAATTTGGTAATGGTTAAAAATAATGTGCTAAGAAATACATCCATGAGGATTAGAAGGACATAGAAACAAATAAGTATCATTAGGAGAGCTTGATAGAAACATGTTGGCTACAACAACCATATAACATTAAATGAGGAAAAAGGTCTCTGTGATTACAGATGTGAGAAAAATGCTAAAGTCAGAAAAGTAAGCTCAAGTTTTCTGTGAAGTACTGTCTTCAACACAAAAGAGACTTTTCCTAGGTGACTGATTCAAGTGGAATTTCTCATCTCCACTGTTCCTTTCTCCTCCAGAAACACAAAAGGGTATCGCTGACATGGCTCTCAGAGACAAATGCACATCACGAGAGAAGAGAGGGCAGGACAATGATCATCTCCCTCATGCGGAGCCAATACTCTGCTCTTCAAGGTCTTGGAACATGGGTAGGTATGAGTTTATCTGCAGGTAAATAATCATGTCACCCTTGTAACCAGCACAGTGAAACTCTACAAGGTCTCCAAACACAACTGTTAGGACCACAAAATAAATCCTGAAACTAGATGCTTACCTTACTCTTAGAATCCTTTCAAAACTTCAGGGCTGCTAATTACAATATAAATAAAAATTCATTTGACAACATAGGTCTTTATATTCATGGGAAAGCCAAAATACTTAAGTTCCACTATTGACGGGACTCTTGTCAGGTTTATTCAATTATTTATTCTCATTCTTCACCCCGAAACTGAAGGAGTCATTGAGTAACACATTTTTGTTCACTAAAGGAACATCTATTTTTTTCAGTTGATACTATTCTTACCTACTGAAGCCAAGTTCTTGAAGGTTTCCGTCATTACATCTCTGTAGAGTTTCCTCTGAGTAATATCCAGCAACGCCCATTCTTCCTGGCTAAAGACCACTTCCACATCCTCAATTAGCAGCGATTCCTGAAACATCCCACGCATAATGGATCAGAGCATGGTACCATGCACTCCAACGTGTACAAGAACTGAAAGGTGAGGTTAACAGGCTGGGGGAGTAGGGTGTAGGCTATAAAATGAAGTTGTATTCCACCTAGATTTACTCGAGAGTACACTCTCATCCACGTAATTTTCTCACTAACTATATTCACTTCCTTATTGACTGCCCCCTGTCTCAGACTTCCAAAACACGGACACAAATTATCAACAGTTTTGAGTACTGCCACGTACAGTCTTTGTTCTCTCTTTATGGAATGAAGGAAAGGATCAAAATTGACGTCTGCAGCAACTCTAAAACTTGATGTTGAACTGAGAGTAGTTAAAGAAAATGGGAGAAACACCCCCTCCCTCAATGAAATAAGAGCTGAGCAGAAGTTTTCAAAGGGCAGCTCAGAAAGACAAAATAACACACTTTAATACACTAAGATGTGCAAAGACCTGGAGTGAGAAAGCCAAAAGAGAACACACTAAGCGTTTCTCAAGCTGAAAGAAGAAATTCACACCTGAAGTTGAAGTGATAAAGGATTTTTGAGCACCATGTGAGAGGCTTCATGAAGTGTCAAAGTATAAGGAAAGTAGAATACCCTTAGAAATGATACCAAAAAGAATCGACTGATATTTAAACATTTCAGGAGGTACTATATGGTCAAGAATCAATGGCACTTAAAGAAGTCCAAAGCTGATAAAAATTCTCTGGTAAAAAATAAGCCACCAGGAATTGACAGAAAACCAACAGAAACATTTCAACAAATGAACACAATGCTGAAAGTGTGAACTCATCAATGAGAAGAAATTTGGCCATCTGGGAAATGCAAATCAAAACAACCATGAGATAGCCTAGTACCCACAAGGATAGCCCAATTGAAAAAACCAGAAAGCAACAAATGTTGGAGGGGGTGTGGTGAGGTAGGGACTTTCATTCGCTGCTGGTGGTCTTGAAGATATATACAGCCACTGTGGAAAGCAATTTGGAGATACCCCAAACAGATGGAAATAGAGTTACCTTCCAACCCAGCGATTCCACTACTGGGCATACACCCAGAAGAAATAAGAAACAGGCCATGAGCAGACATCTGCGCTCCAATGTTCATCGCTGTGCAGTTCACAATCGCAAATAATTGGAAATAGCCTAAATTTCCATCAATAGAGGAAATAGATTGAAAACTCCGGCATATCCACACAATGGAGTGCTAGCTCCCTACAAAACACGATGAACTAATGAAGCACCATCTTGTGGAAAGAGCTGGAGGACATTATACTGAGTGAAGTCAGCCAAGCAGAAAAGGGCAAGTTCAACATGAGTCCACTGAGCTAAGAACAAATAACAGAATGGGCACAGGGGAAAATGCACATACAGCACAGTTCCCGGGCTGAAGACCAGAGACTCTGGCAAGAGCCAGATCAAACACAATGATGCATATGACATTAAAATAAATAAATAAATAAAAGGAAAAGGGGAAAAAAAAGATGCAAGTAACACCTGTGTGGAAAGACATCCCACCCCCCCACCCCGCCCCCACATATGCTCACAGAGGGATCAGGGAAGAAAAATGATGGGAAAGGGGGAACAGGGCATTAATCCACCCAGGGAGGACTGCTTATGTCTCCACAGGAAAGGGAGAGAGAATAGCTCACATTCCATAGTGCCATGCCTTAAGGGTGACATTCTTGCATAGGGCAGCTTGACCACACCACGGAGAGGGCTGCAGGGCTGGCCTCAGCTCCAGGTGTCATTGGGACTAGGTATCAGAAGTTCAAAAACAAGCAATCAAATTGACTTGAAGAAGTGTAGACAAAGTGGAGACCCAAAACCTACCTGTAAGGTAATTGGACAGTCCTCTCACAGAAGGGCCATATGGGAGGGAAGATGTATCCACAGTGCAGCACAGTGCAGTATAGCACTGATGACACACAACTATCCTCAAGTTCTTTAATATTATGGTCCCAGTTTTACCTCATTAAGCTTGTTAGACCTGCAAATATTCAAGTTTATAAGAAAGATTGCTTGATTCATGAAATCCAAGATAGATAAACCCTCAGAAATAGTAATTGGGGGGGAGAGGCTAAAAAATAGTAATGGGAGCAATGATTCCCTGGGGGTAAGGAAAGGAGGAGGAGGGAACCAACAGTAAAGATGGCTGTATAACCCCACTCGAGGGGAACGGATACAGTGGATGGTGTAAGATAGTTCAAATGATAATAATAATAACTATTTATAACACAAGAACAAGGGTTCCTGGGGGATAGGGTGGGGAGGGAGGGGATAAAGGGGACCTGATATCAAAGCATCTAAGAAGAAAGAAAATGTTTTGAAAATGATGGTGGCAGTAATTTTACAATTATATTTGATCTTAATTGAATGATGGATTGTTATATTATCTGTAAGAGCTCCAATAAAATGATTAAAAATGAAAAAACAAAAACAAATTTGAAAGACAGCTACCTGTCCGATCACCTGGGAGATAACTATATGTCAACATTTGTGCCTAATCCAAAGAAAAATCCTTGAATAAAATGGGGAATTCACTGAAAAAATATTACAAGGAAGTAAAATTTGGCTGAAAATAAGTTAAAAGCAGTTGCTGCAGTATATTGGCAAGGAAGTCCCAAACACTCAAGGTATCTTCAGATAAGGACACGGAACAAGGGATATCATTGTGGTGAACACTAGAAAAGCGTTTACCTACGTTCACATACTGTGAAAAGGGTGTGCTCCGTGGGTCCTAACCCATTGGGGATAATGTTGCAAAGAACGGGATTCCAGAGCACTTCATTGTGCTCACGAGGAGTCTGTAAGCAGCCCAAGAGGCAGTCATTTGAATCAAACAAGAGGATACTGCATTGTTCAAAATCAGGAAAGATGCATGTCAGGGCTGCACCCTTTAACCATACTCATTTATTCTGCATCCTGAGAAGATAAACACCACATCAGGATTAGCATCTTAACAACCTGCAGTATGAGAAAACATAGTCTTGCTTACGGAAACTCAAGAGCGCTTAAAACACATACTGACGAAGGTCAACGGCCAGTCTTCAGGACTAGACCTCAGCAGAAGCAGACCAGAATGCCCACAGCTGGCCCGATAAGCACCGTGATGACACAGAAGACATCGAGGGTCCCAGGGTCTCATTTTACTGAAATCCACAACCAACGCGCACGTAAGCTGCTCTTGTGCAATGAAACTTCCTATTGCACTGAGGACATCTGCTGCAAAAGTCCCTTTAAAAAGATCCAAGAGCGAAAGCTGTCACACTGAAGACTACGGAGCGCCGGCCCAGGCGCCGCTCCCCGGGCCACAGCGACATGCAGACCTTCACAGACTGCGGACAGCCGGCAGGGCGTGAGGGACCCTGACCCTCCCTGTGACACAAGCACAGCGGCCTGGGTGGTGGCGGGGATGACGTTACACGACCGCACGGTATCACAGAGTAAGCAGCCCAGCAAGTTTTCCCTGCAAACCTTGTTGGATTGGCCGCTGTTTGGTTACACGCACTTTTTACCACACATGCACCCACAGACACACATATGTGTAAGTGAGCTGAAATGCAGACAGCTCACCTGTTAAATTACCCACAAAGTCACACACTTAACACCAAGGCCTCCAGAGGAACCGTTCTAAAACTCCCTCAGATTTCCAGCCCCTTCACAGCCCACCGTGACAACCTGGACCCTGACCAAGGGACCCCGTGAGAAAGAGCACCCTCCATGACCATCCAGATGTGGCGAGAGAAAACCTGCTAGACTGCATGCTGCGTGCTAACACAAAGCAGCTGTCAAGAGCAGCTCCTCTTGTCCGGGAGCGATGGGGCGAGCCCTCCAGGCCCTTGCTCATCAAATCCCAACGCCTCCCCCACGGCAGGGGGTGGGCCACATTGCACGTGTTAAAGCCATCCCAAACATAACAGTACCACAATGACATGAGGTTCCATGTACTGAGGAACTGGGGTTCCTAGAAGGTTTTCAATGTTGTTGTTGTTGTTAGGTGCCATCTAGTCAGTTCCAGCCCACAGTGACACGACACACAACACAATGAAACACTGCACGGTCCAGCACCAGCCTTGCAAATGTTCCTGTGCCTGAGCCCACGGCTGCAGTTACGGTGTCTGTCGGCCCATCTCATTGAGAACTACAGTAACGAGTAAATACCATCTACCGCCAGTCGGACAAAGATAACTTATACTAGAGGCCTGTTTATTGATCCCACTTCCTTTTACTTTGTTCATAATCTGCAATGTTCAACAACAACCTATCAGTCATGCTGAAGAAAGAAACAACTTCGAGAGACAGAGCAAGCATCAAATTCAGACTAAGATCAGGCACAGCTTTTCCAATTATCAGGCAAAAAAGTCAAATAACATAGTTAACATGCTGGGCACATCAATGAGCATACACCACATAACAACACATGGGGCATGTGAGCAGAGAGCTAAAAACCGGAACAAGAAAACAAAGGGAATGTGGCGATCAAAAAATAAAATAAGAGGTTGGAAATGAAGACCACCTTTAGCTAAGGCCAACTGGATGTAGCATTCCGTAGTTCTTTAGAGTTAAGATTGCACATTGTGCTGCTAACCTCACGGTCAGCAGTTCGAAACCACCAGCTGCTCTACAGGGGAAAGAGCAGGCTTTCTACTGCTGGAATGAGTGCCAATCTCACAAACCCACAAGGGCAGGTCTACCCTGTCCTACAGGGTCGCTATGAGTCAGCGTGAACTCAACGGCACGGAGCTTGGAGTTGATTTTGGTGTGTACTGCTAGGAAAAGGTTGCAAGGCTAACTTGTACATTAAAAAGGGTAAGTCGGATGCTATCTTTCGTGTAACACAGGAGCTGAAGTAATCTGCTTGTTTTGGCAAGGTGCTTCCAAAAGTAATACAGTGGGCACTCAAGGAAAGATTGGGGTCGAAAGAAGAGCTGGGTGAAGATCAGAGAGAGAACAGGTCTTCATAAAGCACACCTTCAAACTTCATGTGGCTTTGAAATCTGAAGGCATTACCCACTGGAAAAGCACAGTTTCAGCTAATCCTTATTGTACTTTTTGAAAATGTTATCAATTGGATCTTAACTGTTTTTTCCTAGGAATCACGTTCATAATAATAAAACTACTGAAAATTTGGTTATTTAGGATTCTAATGTTATTAAATAGTCGAGTGAACCAAACCCAGTGTTGTGCAGTCAATTCTTGATTCATAACGGCCTTGTAGGACAATGCAGAACTGACCCATAGTGTCTCCAAAGCTGTCATCGATACAAATGACCACTAAGTCACATCCTGATGAATGGAGAAAAGATAGAAGTCGTCAAGGATTTTGTCTTGCTTCGATCCACAATCAATGATCACGGAAGCAACAATCGAGATCAGAAGACACACTGCACTGGGTAAATCTGCTAATCAAGACTTCTTTATAAAGTATTGAAAAGCAAGGATGCGGGGGAGGGGGAAAAAAAGGAAAATGAGCTGATTCCGGGAACCCAAGAGGCAAGCGAATTTTGGGAATGATGAGGGCAACAAATGTATAGATGTG